AAAGAGAGGGGGGAAAGAGAGAGAGAGAGAGAGAGGGGGGGGGGAGAGAGAGGGGTGGGGGTGGGGGAGAAAGAGGGGAGATGGAGAAAGGGAGAGGGAGGGAAAACGCGTGTTAACAGACAGACAAAAAAGTCGTGTTAACTTCCACACAAAGTGTGACTTTTAACGAGTGTCTGTGTCTGTGTTGGGAGAATAAGTCGCTTCCGATTGCAATTTGTGGCGAAAAATGGAGCAAAAGTGTAGCTCTCTGATGGCTTAACTTTGCGTGTTCTGTATAAATCACGAGCTTTGTTTTGTCACCCGATAAAAAATATTATTTTTCTTCTTATTATTATTATTGGGCCCATATGGTGTACATGGCGACTGCAAAGGCAGTCATTAAAACAGGTGACAGGTTGTTTCTCGGTCTGGCTAAGGTTTTTATATCGTCGTTTGGCTCCATATATATAATAATTTAATACAATAATAATCTGGTCACTCACTCCACGACTGTTTGTGGGACACTGCTGTGAGCAATTGGCTGCCGCGTTTCGCCCACAAAATATACAGTCACTACACTTAACAATATAATTCTGTGAAGCGATTTAAGACGTCTCAACGACGTGATAAGCCTCTATATAATAGAGAATAATATAATGCATTTGATACAGCGCCTTATCCCGTCATTGAGACGTCTCAAAGCGCTTCATAGAATATCGATTGCAAGGATTATTATATATATGTGTATAGATTTGGGGGGGGATTTAATTTTGAGAAGCGATGGACAACGAGGACAATAATTGCTGCCACGTTTTAAGTGACCTCCGGCGATTGTATAATTCGCCCGGGTTTCAGACTATAAAACTCTGTCTCTTAGACTTTTTTGGAGCCACTTGTGTGAGCCGGAATGTGGGTATCTTTCTGTGTGGGTCAGAGGGACATTGACACGGGATTTTGCACTCTGGTCATTGGTGTTAAGGGGTCTTTAAGGGGAAAGAGAGAGAGAGAGAGAGAGAGAGAGGATAAATTAGTAACTTAATATTTCAGAATACAGCGTAAAATAAGCTTCATGCAATTTCCAATCGCAATGGGATGATATTTCCTCCCCGTTTCGTTTTAACCTTTTCGTAAAAAAACCCTCTCTTTTTCTCTTTCTCTCTCTCTCTTTCACACACGCGATAATTTACGTGAAAAGCCCCATAAACCGCGATTCGATTATTTAGCAAAGGGTAATTTTTTTAAGGGGAGAAAAAAATGTTATTCATTATTATTATTATTATCATTTTTTGTTAATGGAGACAATTAAATCCAATCCCGTACTTAATTTACGATTTTGCCAATTGAAACAGACTCATTTGGAAAATTATCTCAATCGCTTCGAATAGTTAAGACTCTTTCATCCTCCCCCCAAATCACACACACATTTATTTTTATTTATGATTTCTTTTTCAGTCTTTCATTTCATTCGTTTAACGGAATATTCCGCACAAATAACTAAAACAATTACTTGTTGAAGGGAGAGAGGGGGGGGAGACATGACTGAATTTAAACGCCTCTCCCCCCCCCCCCCCACCCCCCACACACACAAAAAAAACAGCTGGTTCGAGACCGCTGGATTCCGATTTTTTTTTAAAGAAAAATGAACTGACTGAATAATTTTTTTTTAAATGATTAAAAAAAAACATTTGGCGCGCTCAGTTGACATTTTCGCCTGGAAAATTGAGTTATCAGGGCAGCAATTATTTCACGTGGAGATAAAACTCTGGTGTTAGCATTAACTGTCAAACAGGTCTGTTCAAAAATAAATTTAATTGCAAAATAAAATGATTATGTTCCCTTCGGATGAGTTATGATGAGTGGTTGAGTTGAGTTGAGTTGAGTTAAGCCAGTGTTTCCCAATAGCGATGGTCGCTTCGACTCGCTGCTAATTAACGTTGATGAGAAATCGCAGTTAAGCGCATTCTCTTACACTCTGATGGCTTCCCCGCTGTTTTTTCCCCTCCTTCATTTCCATAAGAAGATTAAACTCAAGGGCCACACTCAAATGCAGATTTTTTTTTCTCTGAAACAGGCATCATAAAAATCAGACGCATGGCTAGTTTTCATCCAATTACCGCTTGTGCTAACCCTTTCTCTTTGAATGGAAAGACGCACAAAAAAGCTTTCCTCTCTCTCTCTCCCCCCCCCCCCCCCCCGCCACCATCACTCTCTCTCACACACACAACCCCCACCTCCAAAAAAAAGTTTCTTTTTGCAAAAGAAACTAACATTGCAATATTTACGTTGCAACATCTAAAAATCCCCCCCCCCCCCCCCTCAAAAGTGACCGAAATGAGTTAGATTCAATAGTATGTGTCTTGTTGCAATTTAGGGTATTATTTGCTCTTGTCTAAGGAGAGTGGGGGTGACAATTTGTTTTATGTTTGTCCTGAAAAGCTAAAAATATTCTTATTTGGCATATCCCGGTGTACCAGTTATATATATCTGTCTATCTATTCATTACTCTTATCAATCAAGCATTTCGCACCCACAACTCACGCATTTTTTTAAAAAAAACTAAAAATCTTAATTATGCCTAAGGTCGCAATATATGTTATCAATGACCGAAACGAGTGAACAACAAATTGGTTCGGGCGCCCCTCGTATTGTTATTCGAATCATAAATCAGTCATACCATAAATTGATTAATATGCATTTTTATTGTGTGCCCTCTCGGCCTATTCTGTTGATAGAATACAACTCATTTGAAACATCCTTGTTGCAAGTTTGTGGACGAAACGCAAATAGCCATTATTTGCCCTTTCGGTCAAAAACACAATTTGTCGTCAACTATTTTGTTGTTTTATTTTACTTGACAATTGCAGCCGGATTCTTGCATTAATTTAACTCGACAAACAACGCACCTACACCTTTTCCCCGCACAACTCTCTGCTTAATAATTTTCTCAAATGCAAGTGAGTTCAATGAAAGCAGCTGTAGTGTGAGTGTCATGTGTATGTGTGTGTGTGTGTGTGTGTGTGTCTGTGTGTGTATCTGTGTGTGTCTATGTGTTCGGGGATACGTGTGTCTGTGTGTGTGGGGATATGTATGTCTATGTGTGTGGGGATATGTATGTCTATATGTGTGTGGGTGTGTGTGTGTCGATGTGGGTGCGGGTACGTGTCGACATATGTGTGTGTGGTGTGTGTGTGTGTGGTGTGTGTGTGTGTGCGTGTGGTGACCACCAGGCGGCGATATCAACACACGTCGCCCAAACTGTGTGTTTCAACCCGTGTTGTCTCAGTTACAGTTACAAAAGAGAGTCATTTGCAATGTAAACGACTAATGTGTGACTATTCATATAGGTTAAATTTTGGAAATGTGCTGGGGCTCGGGGGATGGGGGGTGGGGGGACAGAGAGAGGTGGAACAAAACCATTTAACAAACTCATTTCGCAAGTGCTCGCGTTGCCACAATGATGTAGAGAGAGAGAGAGAGAGAGAGGGGGGAGATGGTGAGAACGAATATGAAGTGGGGGGTTTATTTTAGGGTGAAAAGGGCTGGTTAGTTTTCTAATCCAATAACATCCAGTTCTCTTCAAGCTTCCAGCTGACAAACCGATCTGCAGATAAACGCAAAAAAAAAAAACAGTGAAAAGAGACTTATTTCGCTTCACTGATAGATATGATGTCGCTGGTGGGGCTGTTGTTGTGGTGGGTTTTTGGGGGTTAGTAAAACAACTTATTTTTGCTGCTTACACCAAAAAGAAATGGCGATTGGATATTGCAGTTAGTGAAATGCCACGAGTCTCACTTATTTTTTATTGGTGGGCAAGTGGATTTTTATAAGGAACAAAATGCGAAAAACGGTGTAGAAGTAAATAAACTTCTCTCTCTTTGTTACTCAGTCGCTCTGTGACATGAACTTACCAGACGGTCTGACGGGGTTTAATGAACGTGTCAGTGGCTTTATTTTGGCATTGAGGTTTTCTCCCTAACCTTCGGACAAAAGAATCGGTCGTTAAAATTTGCGTTGAGCCCCAAAACACGTTACGGAGACGTTGGGTTAATAACGAAACCAAATGCGCGTTCGAATAACGCAAATTCGTTCCCCAAAACGCGTTCTCGCTCGTTGAATTGTGATTTATTTTTGCGGCTTTGACACGGGAATCGGTGAACGTTAAGTATGACACATAAATATCAGACACATCGGGAATAATCGTTTTAAGTGTCCAATTTGCCGTTTGATGTGAGATTCTTACGGTTCGGAATCGCGTCTAAAAACCGCGATTCGTTCAAGTTTTACAAAAACCGAATATAGATACATATGTAGATATTTGTCTTCTATATATACACATATATATATATATATATATATATATATATGCAAAACATCATCTTAGTTCGTTGACATCAACCGATGCCCTTGTGAATGTGTTTGGATCAATTGCAAAAAAAAATAGAATTTATAGGGTCTTTTTATTTGGTGGTATGTGTGTGTGGGGGGGGGGGAGTGTTGGGGGAAATGTGGGGGGGGGGGGGGAGTGCGGGTGTGGGGGGGAGTGGGGGGTGTGGGGGGGGGTTACTTTTGCAGAACAAACAGCCCCTAAAAAAGTTGGTTGGTTTTGGTGTGTTAGAGAGTTTTGGGGGGTTTTAATCTCTGTAGATTTTGACCAATGCCAACAAAAAAGAAACCTTTTGCTGCAATAAGTATTCTCTCCCCCCCCCCCCACCCCCCCTCCACCTCTGTGAACACGGACCGATGCGGTTGCTAAGGGAACTTTTCAGGCTTGGCTGGAGGACGCTGGGCTGAGAGAGAGAGGGAGAGGGAGAGAGAGAGAGAGAGGGAGAGAGAGTGATTGACAGGTGGTGAGCTGTCAATCACCAGCCGCACGGCTTCCGGCCGCGCAGGTGCAGGCGGTGCTTAATGAGATGCAGGCGGCGCTGATTGGCGGGAGGGGGTCCGCCCGCCCCGCCCCCCCCCCCCCCCGGGCTGGGGGCCCCGCCCCGAGCCGTGTCCCGGCCGAGCTGTCCATCAGGCGCTCGGCGCTGCTGCCATTGGCCGCTCGCTCTCCATTTATTGTCTTGACAGCCCCCATCACATGCAATGGTTGTCCATTAACTTGTTGAAAAAAGTAAGTGTCTGGGCTTGTCAGCCTGTGCTCGGCGCTTTGCTAAAGTGCTGCCAGTTGTTGTCGGGTCCTGGCTGCAAGTTGCAGAAGGGGGAAGAGAGAGAAAGAGAGAGAGAGAAAGAGAAAGAGAAAAAAGAGAGAGGAAAAGAGAGAGAGAGATCCCAATTCCATCCCAATTCCAGCTTCTTGATCGAGACTTTTTTTTTAAACTGCGGGACTGCAATCATTATTGTTTCTTCTCTCGTCGAACGAGAAAGAGAGAGAGAGAGAGAGAGAGGAGCAAAAAGTTTATCTCTTGATTTGCTGAATTTCAAACAAAAGAGACACACACAGAGAGAGAGAGAGAGAGAAAGTGAGAAGAGAGAGAGAGAGAGAGAAAGAAACAGTGGAAGAAAAAACGCTACCACATAAACAGGTTGAATGTACAACATGATGGAAACAGATCTCAAGCCTCCTGCCTCCCAGCAAACTTCGGGAGGAACGGGCAACTCTGCCAACAACGCCAACAAGAACAGCCCAGACCGGGTCAAGAGACCGATGAACGCCTTCATGGTGTGGTCGCGGGGCCAGCGGCGGAAGATGGCCCAGGAGAACCCCAAGATGCACAACTCCGAGATCAGCAAGCGGCTGGGGGCGGAGTGGAAACTTCTATCGGAGGCCGAGAAGAGGCCATTCATCGACGAAGCCAAGAGGCTACGAGCCCTGCACATGAAGGAGCATCCGGATTACAAGTACCGACCCCGCAGGAAGACCAAAACGTTGATGAAGAAGGACAAGTACACGCTACCAGGCGGCTTGTTGGCCCCCGGGGCCAACCCCATGGGCGCCGGGGTCGGGGTCGGGGTAGGAGTCGGGGCTGGTGTCAACCAGCGAATGGACGGTTACGCACACATGAACGGTTGGGCCAACGGCGGCTACAGCATGATGCAAGAGCAGTTGGGTTACCCTCAACACCCGGGCTTGAACGCACACAACGCGGCTCAGATGCAACAGATGCACCGCTACGATGTGAGCGCTCTGCAGTACAACTCCATGACCAGCGGCCAACCTTACATGAACGGTTCCCCGACCTACAGCATGTCCCCCGCCTACACGCAGCAAAGCACAGGTATGGCTCTGGGATCGATGGGGTCTGTGGTTAAGTCGGAGTCCAGCGCAACAAGCCCCCCAGTCAGCACTCACTCAAGGGGACCCCCGTGTCAGGGCGACCTGCGGGATATGATAAGCATGTATCTGCCCGGGGCAGAAGTGCCTGAACCCAACGCACAAAGTAGACTGCACATTCCTCAACATTACCAGAGCGCACCTGTCCCGGGGACGGGGATAAACGGCACACTTCCTCTAACACACATGTAAATAACAACAAACAACAACAACAAAACAACCAACAACAAACTGTAAAGAAATGAAAGTTCTTCTTCTTTCTCCTCCACACACACACAGAAAAAAAAAAATTGGACTTTGTTGGACTATTTTTGTATAGGATAATAAATGAATCGAAGAGAGAAATTGTATTATAGAGTGGGTTGGGTTGGGTTGGGGGAATCGGGGAAAAAGAAGAGAGAGATGGAGGGAAAACTTAAATAATTATAGTCCTTTTGTGAATTCATTGTTTTTTTTAATTAAAATTTAAAAAAAATGTGGAAACTTTTACCCGTACAGTTAATAATTTAGAACTAGACTCGGTTTTAAGGGAGGGAAAGGGTGGGAATAAGTTTTTTTTTAATCACGCTTTGCTTGCAACATTTTTTCCCCTTTGTACAGTATTTATCAAAAGTTGAAAATGGGGTTTAAATCGAAATCTCTACACTTTTATCAGTCGGTTGGTTGGAGAAAGCCGCCAATTTTTTTAAAAAAAATTGAAAGGAAAATAAACGATAACAGTTCTTGTTAGCAGGGGTGGGGAAAAAAGACGGGGTGGGGGGGGGGGAGGGGGAGAAGGAGGCAGAAAATTGAGTTTTTTTNAATATGCTGGTTTGGGTTTTATTGTCATGAAAGTGAAGCGATCGAATTGACCGATTTTTTTGTCACTGCTTGAAATGTTTATTTCCGAAAAACGGGCGAAAATTTTAGATTGGTTTTACTCATTTTTTATATAAAAAATTGCAAGCGGGAAAATGCCCTGTGATGGTGTGGGGGGGGGGGGGGGGGGAGAGAGAGAGAGAGAGAGAAAGAGCCTTGTTAATTAATTTATAGTCATTTTTTGTTTCATATTTCATCTTGTTCTGAAACTGGAAATATGAAGTTACTGTGTTTTGGATTATTTTTTTCCTTATGCTTTTTGTAATATTTGTGTAAATTTTACTGTGATAATATTTTTAAAGTTTTTTTTCTCATTCTCGGTAGTGTAACTGCAAAAAAAGATAAAAATAAAAATAAATAAAAACGGCTCTGTTATTCGATTCAGTCAGCCGAACACAAGACCGTGTATATAATTAACTAATACAGACTTTTAACAGAAGATTTCCACCTTACGTTTTTTTTCCTTCCCTCCATTTATGCAGAGTTTGAGACGAAATAAATTTTGAAACTTGTAGACACTCAAATTTGGTTTTACTTGTGGAATTATTTGCCTTGGTATCTGCGTGTGTAGCATTTATCTTTGCTTGTAAAATATCTATCCAATATAGAGGGGTGCAAAAAAACAACGATTATTTTTGGTAACAATTTCTGGGTTTTTTTTTTCTAATTGCTTTTTATTTAAAACAAGTCACGGTTTATAACTGATATGTGGGGAGGTATTGAGTTTTGACTTTGGCTCGTGTTGGAGCCAGTTGGAGCTAATTCAGTCCCTGAATGTTTGTGATTTGAGACAGGTTGCTGAATTCACATACACATACTCTCACTCACTCTCTCATTCACTCACCGACTATTCCCTCTCCCCTATCCCTTCAACACACACACACTCACGCCTCAGCTAAAAATGCACAACTTGTATTATCTCTACTCTCAGTTTATTGCAAAAACAAATCAAATCGAGGATATATAAAAAAAACTGCTTGATTTATTTATTTTAGTTGAGAAAAAAAATGCACTTTCCTTTTTTCCAACCTGTTGAGCGCCACTCACACCTAAACCTGAACCCATCGCCCCCGAAATTCATTATAAAGTTTGGCAATTTCGGTGCTTAATGGTGATTTATTTATTTTTCCAATTTGCACTGCATATGTTGTGGAAATTGCGACTCGTTAACGAAAGGGATGCTTTGAGGCGCATGTTTGCCAACAATCTTTTTTTTTGGGGGGTGGGGGGGGGGTCCACGTTGAAGATGGCTTCCTTTTCCATGCCTTTTTTTGAGGGGAGGCGGATTAAAAATTATAATCTTTGAGGCGCATTCGCCAATTACATTTTGAAATACACGCTTTTGTTTTTTTTTGGGGGGGAGACACTAAAAGAAGTGAGTGTGAGTATGTTTGTGTGCGTGTGCGTGTGTGTATGTGTGTGCGCGCAAGCGTGTGAAAGAAGTCTTTTTGGAGGGGAATGTGGATGTATTCCTTCTCATTCCCCCTCTCCCCCCCTCCCCCCTCTCTCTTTCTCCCTAGTCCTCTCTAATCCTGTTTTTATGTTCTCAGCGGGGGTCGCAGATTGGATCCACACAGTAGCGCAGCTTGGGCGAGCTTCGCGTTAGGTTATCAACTCGTTTGCATCAATCAAACTCCCCCAAGTTCTCTCGAGAAGACAAGGACGCCCCGATACACGCTACAAGTCTCTCTGAACCCGTCCGTCCACACACTGACTGCCCTCTCCTCTCCTCCTCTCCTCGCCCCCCCCTCCTCCTCCCTCCCATAAATCCTCTTATGTTTGTGTTTGTGCGATTGCGAGTGAGGTTGTGTGAGTGTCGAGTGTGAGTGTGTGTGTGTCTGTGAGTGTGTAGGAGTTTGTGTGTGTGTCTCTGTGTGTGTGTGTCTGTGAGTGGGTAGAAGTTTGTGTGTGTGTCTCTGTGTGTGTGTGTCTGTGAGTGGGTAGAAGTTTGTGTGTGTGTCTCTGTGTGTGTGTGTCTGAGTGGGTAGAAGTTTGTGTGTGTGTCTCTGTGTGTGTGTGTGTCTGAGTGGGTAGAAGTTTGTGTGTGTGTCTGTGTGTGTCTGTGAGTGAGTAGAAGTTTGTGTGTGTCTGTGTGTGTGCCTGTGAGTGTGTAGAAGTTTGTGTGTGTGAGTGTGTAGAAGTTTGTGTGTGTGTGGGTGTGTGTGTGTGTGTGTGTGTAGAAGTTTGTGTGTGTCTGTGTGTGTCTGTGAGTGTGTAGGAGTTTGTGTGTGTGTCTCTGTGTGTGTGTGAGTGTGTAGAAGTTTGTGTGTGTGTGTGTGTGTAGAAGTTTGTGTGTTGAGTGTGTAGCAGTTTGTGTGTGTGTGTGTGTGTGTGTGTGTGTGTGTGTCTGTTGTGTGTGGAAGTGGCGTGAGGAGAGAACGCGAGTGTTCTCTCTCTAAAAGTGCGTCAGGATTCACAGGGAAACTTAATGCTGCCGGTAATTTGACCCTCCATTACCGGAGGAAATAATTAAACCCACCGCAATTACTGTTCCATTTAAACACGGTAAAAAGGTCATAGTGTTGTGTGTGTGTGTGGGGGGGGGGAGCAATAATGAGACATATTGTTATCTTATAAGAATAATGTGCTTCCCAGATAATTGGAAAAACGCGTTGTTTTAAATTATGAGAACCTGCGCTCCCATCACAAAACAACGCAATTTAGCACAAGGTCCGAAAACTAGCGCACATTTTCCGCAAAATATCTTCTTTGCCCCCACCGCCAAGAAACAAAAAACACATACTACTTCTCAATAAACCGCAAGTTCTGAAAATATTCCGATATTCGCTTTTTTTTTAACGCGGAATGGAGATTAAAACCTGTGTTTTTTTTTCTTTCATATATATTGATATTGTATATAGAAATCCGAGATCCCGAGAGAGAGAAAAGGAAACTTTTTTACGGGTCGAAGTTCTTCGAATGATATTACGAGTTTCGCAAGAGATAGGAAGAGAGAGCTAAAGAGAGAGAAAAATAATAATAAATAATAATAATCTTTGCATTTGATATAGCGTCTTATCATGTCTTCGAGACGTCTGAAAGCGCTTCCTAAAGAAAATAATAATATGAAATAAGTTTCAGAAAGTTGGCTATTTTCCTGATGAAAGTTTTAACACCCACCACCAAAACAAAACTTGATGGTTGTCGCGTCGCTTCAGCTGATTTGTTGGCTTCGTTCAAATCATGCCAGTTAATGTTGACTTTCATCATCTATCTCTATATTATTGATCCTATTTCTTTCCTAAGGGATCTGGAATATTGGCGAGTGAGAGAGAGAGGGAGAGAGAGGGAGAGAAAGAAAGGGAGGATGAACAGAATGTATTAATCTCCTTGCAAACTGAGACTCATGTAGTAAACAGGTACACACTCGCTAATGTCCTTGTTAAACAGGTCTGTTAAACATCGGCTCCTACTTTTCACCCCCCCCCCCCCCCCCCAACCCCAGGAGGGCAAAGTGTTGATGCATATATAGGGATTATTTCCATGGCAAATGCACGCAACTGACTTGACTGCCCCCCCCCCCCTCCCCCCCCCACACACACACACTCTCATGTACATAATAATAAAGCAACGGCTCTCAATGTAAAGTAGTCTTTCACGACCTGGGCCTTTTCATTTCATTTGCATTTGATTAAAAAGAGAAGAGAGACCAAAACACAACTCTCCCCTCGCCTCGTCTCCAAACCCAGAGTTTAGAGTTCGGGTTCCCGAGGTAAACCAGTCTTTCTTTTCAAATAAAAAAATATTTTCCCAACATCCAAAGCGAATTCGCTATCTGATTTGATCTCACTATAATATAAACTAAATTTAAAGCGATTTAAAACAAGCCGTTAAATAAGTGATCTAAATAAGCAAATAAATTGGGTTTTTTCTCTCCCCCAGGTTCAGATAACATTTATGTTTCATGTACTGTTAAAGTAACTCTCCCATCCAAAGGGAGATTGCAATATTTCCTGCCCACCACCTTTTCACTTATGTCTCTTCTTCATTCCCCGCCCCCCTTCACAAACACACACCTCCCTCCCTGCTTTTCCCATTACAAGTTTTGCCAATTAAATGTGTGTAAAACTAAGTAAAGTTGGGGTAGGATTGTCAGACAAGTGTTGGTTAATTGTATTTATATAGTTAGTGTTCATTCACCTCTGGCTAAAACCTCTCACCTCTACTGATATCATAGAACCCAGGGGAGGGGGGAAGAGAGTAAATCGCCTTACATTTTCCTTTTAATCTTATTTGATATTATTTCCTTTAAGTAGCGCCATGAAAACGCATGTTTAACAGAGACATAGACAGAGAGAAAGAGAGAGAATCAGAGAATTCTGGTACATTTCCTTATGGCTTAGAAATTTCTACCCCAAGAGAAGAGAGTGAGAGAGTGTATCCAAATTTACATTTAAGATTTATATCGACACACATGTACAGAAAGCAAACGGGTTGTGTTCGCATCAATCAGGTTGGGATGGATTCCTTCCTTTTGAGATAATCCGCTTCTGGTTCTTGATTGCGAATTCGAAATCTAACGTTGCCCGCAAGCTTAATAAAAAGCGCGCCATTCGTTAATTCGTCAACATCAAAACCTGGTGTGAAAGAAATCACCCAGAATCGAGCGTTTCTCGCAGCTTTTTTCATTTTTCTTTTTAAATGGACTTTTTTTTTTGAAGATTTACGAAACATTTAACGCATTTAAAAAAAAATCAAAGATCCCGAGAGTAATGGTTGGGTGAGATTGACCGAGAATGGAGCGGGCGCTATAGATGTATTAATAATTAGAATTTATTCAGCTATTGAGGGTAGGGGGGGAACTCATGCGAAGTTCTAACTGATACTTTTTTTTAGTCCCCCCCCCCCCCTTACACACCCTGTGAGAGCCGGAGTGAGTGTGTGAGTGTGTGTGTGTGTGTGTTGGGCAATCTCATTCACGGAGTGAATTAAACAGCGTGGCTTTGTTCTGACGACCTTTCACTTCCAACTGCCGCAAACACCAACTCCCCCCCCAACCCCCCCTCCCCCCCCCCCACCACCACCACCCCCACCAACCCATATCGCCGGGGAGAGGCGCAATAAAATAGGGGGAAATCAGCTGTTAACGAATTCAAGTCGCAATATAAGGGAATAGGGGAGACAGAGAATCGGAGAGAAGACTTGATGTTAATGTAACAGGTGTCGCCTTGTAACGCATCCCAAATGTTTGCCCGTTAAACTCTCTTTCTCTTGCAAATATAGACCCCACCCCCACCCCGACACACATATACCCTCCCCTCTACCCCCCACCCCCCACATACACACACACACAACGCTGTCTGATTTATAACTGCATTCTGGAGTTCAAGCAGTCAGTTTGGTCGCTGACCAACAGTTGGGTACATCTCTCCTATGGCAATCTCTCTGTGTTATAATTTCATATAAAGTACTGGAAGGGACATCCACAAGTCTATTAGTCTTTCGTTCGATCTCTTCCCTTTCCGCTTCCCCCTCCAACCACGACTGTATGTATGTGTGTGGTTTTATTTTGTAATGCAAATTCTAAGAATGTTTAAAATAAAAACAACGCAGTAAAACATTCACGGTTTGCTCAGCGAGTTGAGTTCCGACGCAGTCATAGAGAAAAAGAAAACGGGGGGTAAACGTTTATAATGTTATTATTGGGTCGTTCGTATCTCGAACTCAAAGCAATCGACGAGTCGGGTATTTTTTCACACACACATATATATATATAATATAGAAAATAAGAGTTAGACACTTGAGACTTGTATTTTAAGTAACTTGATATCTAACTAAAGCGCTTAACGAACCAGCTAGCTCTAACCAAATACAATGGCTCCTAACGATCCATGCAAGAAATAAAAGGGGCTGTTGTAATGATTATTAATTATCAGACGGTTGTTTTAGATGCAACCAAAGCGGTAGTTGTATCAGCCTTATCATTTTATAGAACACTTTTATCTGTGTGTTCCACACATCGCCTCTTCCCTTTGCAATCGCCCGCCCAACCAACCAATCGACCGCTCAACCAGCATCCTGTCAGGGGAGGTAATATGAGCCGCATTGTTAAATGTACACATCTCACTTCTCGGCTATTCGTTTTCAACACAAAAACAAGTAGAGATCCCGAGCCCCAGTGCAGCACAGCCCGGGGAGCGCTGCTCTTAACACGGGCACCATTTATAGACATGCACACATGCATATATATATATTTATAGAAAGAGAGAGAGAGATGTGTTTTCTTCTGTGAAAGTTTAGTGGGTTGGTTGAGGGGGGAGAATTGGAAAGATGGGGGAGTGAGTGAGTGAGTGAGTTAGTTTGCCACTCCCCCCCCCCCCCCCCCACCACCACCCCAGTCTGTGTGTGTGTGTGTGTGTATATATATATATATGTGTGTGTGTGTGTGTGTATTGTTGTAGTGCTCTCGGGCGCAGATTAAACCACTGACCGATTGATTCTCTGTGAGGGACTTGGACTGCACTTTGCAAAGACTGGCGGCTTTGTGGCGTGACGTCATTGCCCTTTCCCAGCTCAGGCTCCCAGTTTCCCACGGCTTCTGGAAGCTTACAATCCCCTCCTCTCTCTCTCTCTCTCTCTCTCTCCATCCCCCCTCTCCCACCGCCCCCCCCCCCCTACCCTTTCCTCACATCCACCCCCGGGGAATTAAAATGACTCTCCCTTTTATAACAGCATCCCATTGCACCTTACACGTCACCATCCACCTCCTCTCCCTCTTCTCACCTCCTCTCCCCCCCCCCCCCCCCACACACACACACATAAGGTATATCACCTCCCACCCCCCCCACACACACACATCCCCTGGATTCACGCCTCCCCCCCGCGCGCCGCCGCCCCCAAACCCTACATTAGACCCATCGCTACGCAAAAAAAAAAGTTTTTTTTCCAACTGTTAGAATCTGTTGATCCCCCATTCGGTTGATGGGGATTTACGAAATGTCTTTCTCGAAGCAGAACATGTTGTGATGGCTTTTTCTTTTGGGGGGAGATATGGGGTGGGGAGGGCAGTCAGTATCCCTTAGTTGCCCCCTCTCTTGGCTCTTTCAAGATGCATCTCAAGACCCTCCTCTTTGACCATGTTTCCGATCACCCTCCGTCACCCACCCCCTCCACCCCCTCCACCCCCTCCACCTCACCACCACCACCACAACAACAACAAGATTCCATTCATAGAGCGCCATTCACGTCGGGAGGACGTCCCAAGACGCTGTACAGTTGGGTCAGGACCACCCTCCCAGACCCCGACCCCCAGATCGGGTCCGAAACACTGACTGTCCAGCGCCTTGGGACGTCCTCCCGACGTGAAAGGCGCTTTAACTCAATCACGTCCAGGTTTGATTAAAGCGCTTGGCGTGTCCCGGGTTAGACTACAATTCCCGCTGGTTTTCCATATGCAAACTTTGGCCGAGTTTAAATCAGACACAGGGTTTATCTGGTTTCATTCGAGCTAACCTCTCGCATCGATCTGAAACCCACTGTCAAATGCACAGCAGTTCCATCCACGTAATAATCTACATATTTTTCTTATAATAATAATAATCCTTACATTTGATACAGCGCCTCATCGCGTCTCCGAGACGTCTCAAAGCGCTTCACAGAATACACTGTAAAATGCAATTGACTGTACTTTGTGGGCGATATAAATGATATAAAACATTTTTATAAAGCATTTTTGTCGTGTTTGAATATTATAATATTAACACAAACTAAAAAAAATAAAACGAATCTCAATTGTATGGTTTAATTGTGAATCAGTTTTAGTCAAATCGTATCTATTTTTTTGAAATATATTTATACACATATATATACAGTATTTTAAAAATTCACCCCCCGACGCGAAGCTTCAAACTAATGAATAAAAGATTCTCCAGCGCAAATTTATTTTCATTTTAGTCATTTAGATTATTAATAGCACTGCGATGTGATAATATTGAAATTAATTATAATCGAAAAAATAAATGAAAAGCTGAAAAGTCTTTTTAAATCCCGATTTTATATAAAATAATTTAAGCGACCCATGACTGCTCACCCTTTGGGGAGGGGGACAGACACACACACACACACAATTATGGGGTTCATTAAATCTTCATGTCAACTATTTATTGTATCTGGTGTGTGTGTATGTGTGTGTTTGAGATTTTCCATGGACATACCGTTAGCTTTCAGTGTGATGGAGGTGAGTGGGTGGGGGTTTGGGTGTGTGTGTGGGGGGGGGGGGGGGGGGGGGGGGGGGAGGTTGGGTGACATTTTCTGAAGCGCCTGTGTTTTTTTAGTATCAAAATCCCCATTTGACTTTGATGTAGCTCTCCACACGGCGTGAGGCGAGATCCGAAGGGAAACCGAGATAAAATGGCATTTTTCCCCTTTTCCAATAAAAAGTACTCACACGACACACGCAATTGAACCCGAAAACAAACGAGTGGAAAGCTATTCCAATATATCTCTTTTTTATTTCTCTTACTATTAAGAATATAGAGCGTTTTAACCTATCTGTCAAATGTCTGATTTGGTGGATCTCTCTCTCTCTCTTCTCTCTCTTTCTTTCTCTCTCTCTTTCTTTGTATGGAATGTTATTGCTATACGACTTTTTTTTTCAAATTACAGAACTTGGGAAATAGCTGGCAGATAGAAGGAAAGTAATTAAGGTATTAAAACAAGCAATACATTCCTCCAGAGGGCTGTTATCAACTGACAACACACTCTGCAAGCCCTCAGTATGCTAATATAGCAGCCAGACATCACTGCTCCATGTGACTCCTGCCTATAACACCAACCAACCCAAAGTGTGAAGTTTTATACATGAAACTATATTCCCCCTCAGTCACCCTCTTATCCTCTCTCACCCGCTCTCACCTCCACCATTACCATAATCATATCCTAATAATCTACAGTGTTTAAGTCAAATAATAATAATAATAATAAACCTTGAATTTGATATAGCACCTTATCGCTTCCTCAAGGAGTCTCAAAGCGCTTCACAGGATATATAGTACTATAAAGTGAATTGACTGTATATTTTGTGGACAAAATGCGTCAGCCAATTGGATTTACCAGGATGTACCCTACCCTTTTAAAAATTATAATAATAAAAAAATTCCTTGCATTTGACACAGCGCCTTATCACGTCTTCGAAATGTCTCAAAGCGCTTCACAGAATGTACAGTACTGTAAAGTGAATTGACTGTTTATTTTGTGGCCTATCTTAAGTAATGTTTTAATTTATTTTATTGGGGGAGGCCTTTTTTTTTACTTCGAATTTTGTTGAGATTCTTGTTTTTTTCCCTTTAAAAAACACAAAAATAACTTTGAATAAAATATTATTTTATATATTTTTCAAACAAAAACAGAATAGGGATGTGATCGAGTTTTTTTTAATGAATTTTAAAATATTTTAAAAAGTTGCAATATTACATAGAGCTATGGGGGTGTTTCAATTTAGCATTTTATTACATATTCCCTGATTTTTCATCCTTTGAGATTAATGGAGTCACAAATCAAGATACTTTTCTGAAACTCTTTAGGGGAAAATAACAATGATTTCACTACTGTACTGCTGGTCACACTGTTTTGCTTGTTAACTGTTTTTCTCTCCTTTTTAGGGGGTGGAAAGCGAGTCAGCGAAAATATATATATACACAACCTTTTGAATATATATATATTTAGTAATGGTCGATAACTGTAAATATAAACCTCGGGATTATTGAAATCACATTTCCTGGCGAGAATGCTTTCTTAAAAATAAACGGTCTGATATGTTGTTAAGAAGCCAGCGATAAAGTTGCTTTGAATTTAATTCAGATGTAATCATGTAATCAACCCCCCAGCACTCCAATGGGGGGAGGGGGGGGGGAAGGGGGTGGGGGGGAATGCTGTAAAATCATATAATGCTGAACTTTTTTATTGAAAATAAAAAAATCCAGGCTTGTGATGGAAAAGGGATGTTTTTTTTCTCTCTCTCTCCCCCCCTTCTCCAATTTTCTTAATCTTGCCACATGCACTTCATCCGCTCAGAACATACATACACATACATACACAGATATATACATAAACATACATACATACATATACACATACACACATTTCAACATTGATAATCTGTTAATTAATGCACACAATTGAAGGACGCATTGTGTATGACGTGAACGTTTTTTTTCACACACATTATTATTCTCTTAGTCAAGTTACATTCCATTCTTATGTGAAAAAGTCCACTTGCTTGGGCACCTGCTATCTTAGCAAGTGCTTGGCTTGAAGCAGAGAGGGAGAGGGGATTGTCAGTGAGGTGGGGGCGGACGGGAAGATAGGGGGAGGGGAAGGAAAGTATTTCTTAGGTTCCTTCAAAAGGTAAACACATTCACCCATTACAGCAGTCACACAGAGTGTCAAACAGCTACTAACAAGTTTGCAGTCACACATTAAAACATGGGTTCCCATTGGAATCCGCCAGGGAATTAGACTTGCCCTCATCTCCCCCTCTCCCTCTCCCCGGGGGGTGAGGTGGGGGGGCGGGGGGAGACTTTTTTGTTGTTGTCTTGAACTCGGGGTAAACACTTTAAGACGACTTGGTTTGGGTTTTGTGTTGTTCAGTTGAGTTTTTTTCGACTTGGATGATGTTTATAGGTATTGGTCGTGAATTAACATCCAAAGTGACATAGCGTACCTCCAATATCAATGAAGCCCCCCAGCGACTGAACAACCCCTGGGGGTGGGTGGGTGGGGGGGGGGGGGGGGGGGGGTTGCAGGATACAGACATTCAAAAGTTTCTGCTAGGAGAGTTTTCTGGGAGGGTGAAGAGGAGGGGAGAGATAAAAGTTTGAGAGATTAAAGTTGATTGAACGCTGTAAGGCAACGCTCCTAAAATCAAGGGCGCTTGAAATTGCATTGTCGTTGAGACCGATCGCCTGTCGGTTCCATAGAGTCTAACGATTTGTGCGCTGATTTCGGGTATAGCCCCTCAAATTTCGTTCAAAGGTACCCGCTCAATGTCCTTCATCTTTTAAATCGCACCCAGGGTTAATCCTAATTAATGTTTCACATTCTGTGTTCTAAAAGGCGCGGACTTTTTTTCCCTTTAAAAAGTTCAGCTTTTTAAACCTGTTCCCTTTTTTCAGATTTTTCTTTTAAAAAACAGCAAATTAAACTGAGCGACTGGATTGTGCGTTTCGGAAATGTTTTAGTAAAAAAAATGTGAGAAAATCTCAAACTTTAAAAAAAACGCACTCCCACCAAAGCGACCCCCAAAGAATAAGCGGGACTTGGAAACAGAATAATACCACTGGCGATTGTGAAACACAAATCAGATCTCATAGGTACATTCATCTCCCAACTGCAATCCACCACTGTTTGAGAGACACCGATATGCGCAATTGGCTGCCGCTTTTCACCCACAAAACACACAGTCACTACACCTTATATAATATATTCTGTGAAACGCTTTGAAACATCTCAACTACGTGATGAGGAGTTATATCAAATGCAAGGATTATTATGATCTCCTGCGATGGTGGGATCTATCTGTTAAATCAGAAATGCGATGTGAACGTGGGATGGGGGGGTGGGTGTTAGATTTTATTTCCTTACACACGGCTTGATTTTATGTCTTACTATTGCATGTTGTAGGAGAGCTTTATGACAGAGCGAGGCTGACACTAATACTAAAAGCACTTTACGGGTTTACGGTATAAACGTTTTATAGATACTTCCTTCCACGGCGCTCGATTCTAGTTTGTTAATAAAGCACCTAACTGGTTTAACTGAGTTCCTCAGCTTGTTCACTAGCGGCGATTCACTGCACAATACATATTTCGTCCACAAAATATACAGGCAATTCACTTCACAGTATATTCTGTGTAGCGTTTTGAGACGTCTGGAAGATGTGATAAGGCGCTATATCAGATGCAAGGATTATTATTATTATTATTATTATATTTGAAAAAAAATCAAGCTCCCATTTCCTTATCCGCTAAACTCTCAGCCCGGAACGTGCAATTGAAACTCGGAGGAAAATGATTTCAGGAGAAAGGGTAAAGTGAATGACATTAGGTTTTGCTTCCAAAAACACTTATCATTTCACTACAGTTTACGCTTTTTGTGTCTTGTACACATGTACAGTCACTACATTTGTCGATTGGCGGATCGCTTTTGGGGGGGAGGGGGTGGGAGGGAGATGGGGGGAGGGGTAATAATCCCTTCCAAAATAATGATAACTTGGTCACTTAATCCACGACTGGTTGTGGGACACTGCTGCGCGCAATTGGCTGCCGCGTTTCGCCCACAAAATACACAGTCACTTTACAACATGTGTGAGGCGTTTTGAGACGTCTTGATAAGGCGCTGTATCAAATACAAGGATTTTTAATTTTATTTTCCAGTTTAATCATGTGCAGCGTTTTGAGATGCTTCTCATGCGTGAAAGGCACAATGATAATAATCATGACATTTGATATAGCGCCTTATCACATCGTTGAGACGTCTCAAAGCGCTTCACAGGATACGCTGTAAAGTGAATTGACTATATTTTGCGGGCGAAAATGTGGACAATGTGATGATTATCAATAATAATTGTTATTATTAGTTTTTCTCTGATCAACTCCATTCCACCTCACACAAGCGTGGAGGTAATGGTTAATAGGGGTCACTTTATTTTTTTGACAAAAAACATCTCCCCCTTGTTCAGTCTCACTTTGTATCCTTCGGGGTGACACCGCCTACTTTATCTCCAGCATATTGTTTGATTGCTAATTCGAGTTAATGCGATCTTTTCGAAAACATAAGAGCGGATAATTGCACCTTGTTCCCAACAACAATATAAATCACAATCGCTTTATTATTTAATAACGTCAAACGCATGGTTGCATTGGCTCCTATAGGGAAGAGATTTCTCTCTCTCTCTGTCTCTCTCTGTCTCTCTCTCTCTCTGCCATCCCCCCCCCCCCCCCCACGCCTCCCCTTCATTGCCCCAATGTTGAGTAGAAAAAATACATTCAAAAATCTCGTTTATACAAGTTTATTTTTAATTAATAAAAAAAAAGTTGCCTCCTGTAAAGTAGGGAAGAAAATTACAGGCGTTTCATTAAAGCCCGCACTTTGTACGTTGACTCAAAGTGAACCACACACACACACTCCGACCTATGGACAAATTCCTATCCTGAGCTCCTTAGCAACACATTAAAGTCTTTCACAAGCAAATGGGCTCCTTCCCTGGTTGCGGTTGTTGCTAGCGAGTTGCTCCCAACCCTGCAAAAAAAAATAGGGTTATATTGTGCTAACCAAAGCAATTTATATATACTAGTATATACAGAGAGAGAGAGAGAGAGAGGGACATGAGAGACAGAGTCCCTTCTATCCACAGCCCAGTAACGGAAGGGGAAAGAGACATTTAAAAACTTTCCTACAAATAGCCCCAAATAGATAGATATTCTGAACTTTGAAAGATTTTTTGTTTAAAAGAGCGACGCTTTTGTATTAAACTAATGTGACAATATGTTCTGTGAAGCGTTTTGAGTTACAAGGTGTTATATCAAATGCAAGGATTATTATTAATTATTGTTGTTATTGCGTTTTTTCCCCTCTCTCCAATAGTTTCCCGAACAATGTATATACATTATGGGAGTACCAATGCCTAATCGATGCCTCTCTCTCCCTCTCCGGGTAGGAACAATATAACTGAAATGGATAGAAACCATATCATTTATATTGTGAAAATCGAACGAATTAGCTGCCCTAACCCACACAGCTCAGTCCAGCTCATTCAGGGCATACATGTTTGTGAAATTGGACTGTTAACAGGAGAGGACTATTGATCCGCACACACACAAACCGTTTTAATTGTTACACATCCACGTTTTGGTCGCATTTTAATTACACTTCACGTTTATTCAGCACTTTCATTGATGCGTTAGCACCAGATTATTGGGGGGCGGGGA